GGCAGTTTCAACGAAATCCATCTAAACCTAAACAGACCAATTCCTCGTCGAAAAATCGCTTCCAGCGGTAATTCTTTGAACTTCATGTTCTTGAACAGTGTCGTCCAACAATTGAACATCCTTATGGATAAGAGCGATTTGCAACTCCAAGGCGGCAATGTGATGGGAAAGTTGCTCCTTGATCAGCTGGCATTCCTGCTGGTGAAGATTCTCATGCAGTTGCTTCAGGTTGTAGACTTGTTTGGTGGCCCCAAAATGTCCTCCCGAAGCCAATTGGTTCTGAATCTCGTGCTTTTGCTGGTCGACGAATTGCTGCTGTTGCTTCAACTGTTGAGCCGAATGTTGGTGATGGTTTATTTCCATTTCGATGCTGGTCTTTTCATGTTCATCGGCCAGTTTGTGGATGGTTTCAGTGTTGACGCCATTAGCCACTCCTCCAACTTGAAAGTGAGCATTGTCGGTGGTAAAGCCAGTTGGAGTGTAAGTTCCCACTCCGAAGTAGTGCTGATGGTTATTCAGTTGCTGAAACACTGAGGCGGCTTCTTCACCACACATTTGATGAACATATGGATGGTAGTTGCTGGTGTCTAGTCCGTGATGGAATTCAGAATCTTGAGAATTTTTGAAAAATATACCGGGGTAAAACCAACAAGTAAAACCTTGCAAATAAAACTTTTTTTTTCTCACCGAAAAGCTGTGAAGGGTTCTGCTCCACTCTCCACTGCAAGTCCTTAATTCTCCTTAGTTGGTCGCAAATGGTGTTCTTGGAGAACCCATAGCGATTGATTGGCTCGATTTGGGCTTGTTGGTACCCCCAAAGGCCGCCCGTAGGGTAGTCAACCCCGTATGTCCCGAAAAGGGGAGAAGCGTTGGAGAATGCAACAATAGCTAAAAGAATAGCGCACTTCATCTTCAGAGTGGATTGGAATGATTTGTTCGGCACATCGTCGGTCTTTTATATCAAAAGCATATCAGCCGTTTTTGTTTTTTTCCAATGTTATCGGCTTGTTCTTAGGTAGCAACCATAATCCTGGATTGCAAAATATTGTCGCGAAGTAAAGTAATGTAAATAATTTCCACTCTTAAATAAGATAAAAGGCACGATAAGTATTGATGTTTACGTGCATATATGATGGTCAGTCGTATTGTTTTCAACAGTTGAGGACTTTTGTAGTTTTTGCTCAGCTTGCTCGCATTTGGGGATGAAAATAGTTATTATTTGTTGCAAACAAAAGTTGAAAAGTTACAACATCTACGTCTATGAATTAATATTTTATTATTCTTTGCCTATTGTTTTTGGTAAGGCTGATTCAGTTTTATTTAAATTAGTGAATAATTATTCATGTTAATTAAATATTGGAAACAAATATTTTTGAAATAACATTCAAATAATATTTAAAAAATATTTTCTTTTGCTCTGAAATATTTTCTATTCATTGACCAATAAAAATTGAAATATTATGTTCTAAAGTTTGTTCCCACTTATTAAAATAATATATTAGTAACTTTTTGCGTGTTAGTGGTGTTATATATAGACACAAAAAGTATTACGTACTAAGAAAACCTATTATTATTTTATTTACTTCATGCTAATTAAATACTAGAAACAAATATTTTCTAAATAACATTTAAATAATATTTAAAAAATATTTCCTTTTGCTCTGAAATATTTGCTATTCATTGATCAATGAAAATTCAGAT